GAGCAGCTGGCCGACGTTTGGAATACAAATTGCTCCATGCACTTTGCAGCACCTGGCGACAACTCAGGCAAAACAGACAAAGAGGAGATCCCGACTGTATCTAGTTACGTTGACAAGAACACACAGGGCATGTTTCCAACTTTCTCCCACAGAATTTGGAATCTTCCCTATTACTACCCCTCAAGTTAAATTTCCCTCTCTTCCCAAGGTTGCCTCCGATGTCCCTCGGTTACCAGCTTTCAGCAAGATTCAACAACTCTGAAGAAATCACAGAATTTTACACCACTCCAGCCCCATTGCTGCAAATTCAGAATGTTAAACCTGTTACAACTTGCATATAATTTACAGTCCTTAGGATAATTAGAATGCCAGCCTCTTTCTACTGTTTTGCTAGCTAACCATGTTGTGTAAAAGAACCTTCCTAACCCAATCCATACTGTAGAGTAGACCTTTTTAATAAGATGTCTGAAGTATGCTGTTCATAATGTTCCTATAAGCATGTATGGTAGCAAACTTCAGTTTGCAATATTTTTAAAATGAAATCGCTGTATAAATAATAAATTATGTTAGAGAACAACAACCAGACTTTTAGAAGACATCTGAAGGCAGCCCTGTTTAGGGAAGCTTTTAATGTTTGATGGACTACTGTATTTTAATATTTTGTTGGAAGCCACCCAGAGTGGCTGGGGAAACCCAGCCAGATGGGCAGGGTATAAATAATAAATTATTATTATTATTATTATTATTATTATTATTATTATTATTATTATTGTGAAAAGCAATAGCAAAGGGGAAGGGGAGATTGTTCTGTGGTCAGCAGACATGCAATCTTTTCCAAAGTAAGTCATTTACTCTCTGAAATGAAAACTCAACAGTAAAAAAGGGAAAAATTAAACAGCCTTTCCTGCACTCTTATTTATAACGTTGGTCTTCAGCACATAGGAAGCACTCTGGTCTAAGGCAAATCACAAAACAATGGACACCACTATTTGCTTTTTCAATGAGAGGCAGGGAAAGAAAAATCAAGGACAGCACTCACTTACGACTGTTAATAGTTGTGTAAGAACAATACAACACTTCCACCGCGTAACAAATTTAAGAGCTCTGATCTTCTCTGCTTTTAGTCATCCTAAAGTAAAAAATACCTAAGGGGGGGGGGCATGAGGTGGAAATTAACCACAAGTCCTATGCTGCAGTGAGGGGTTAAAAAGTGGATTGCAGATTTGATAAGTCTGATTACCACAGCACATGGCAGCCTACAGAATTTTTGTGAAGAAACAAAAAGGTTCCCTATATAGTAAAATTCCTGGTTAGATCTAAAAACAAACCAACTTGGGAAACATACATATAAACACTCCAATCTTGCTTGCTTTTATATACATGTTGTTAGTCTGTGTTTTTAAACAGTTCAATATATGCTTTTTCCCTCAAGCATTTGTTGTGGGGGGTCATGCAGAAGGGTGGTTCCCCCCCCCCAATAGCTTGAAACTGACATGTGGGAACTGTGGCCACAACTGACATAAGTAGAGCAGAAAATCAATGAAAATAGTTGCCAGAATTGACTTTTCCGCAAACATATCCAAGCTAAATTTAACTCCCACCATTACGGAACAGCAACTGACACGCTTGCAGTTTTAGGGTTATGCCACCAGATAGCAAAGGCAGAGTCGAGAGGCAAACGCTGCAATCCTAACACCACCTCACCTGAAAAGAAGTCCCACTGAATTCAATAGGACTTGCTTTTAAGTAAAAACGGGACTTTAGTTTCCTATTGCATACAAACATTTCTTTTTGCCCCTGATGCTTAGGATATAATAAACTGGGCAGGTTTTCAAGGCTGCATCCTGAATCCAACGCACTCCTAGCATGAGGGAAAAATACAACTGTTCATGCAAGGAAGCTGATCTCGGAGTTCTGTTGATTCCCCTTTGCAGCCCGATCTTGATTTTCTGCCTTTTACGCACCTATCCTTTTTATATAAATAAAGCCCTCCCAAAGAAAGGAAGCCTTATTCCCCAAAAATCATCTTCCAGACACCGCCCCCCCCCAAAAAAAAAACCCTTGCAACAACCAACGGTTCCACAGTAGGATATGCAGAGACCACACACAACGGCCCATGTGCAGTCTGCATTTATGGTGTTGGGAGGGCCAGGGAATCAATGGCCCTGTGGTTGGTATTGGACTACAAAACACATCAGCGCCTTGTCATCACTGCCAGTGGTCAGAGATATCAGAACCAGGTCCAATACTCTAACCACTACACCCAACTGACTCTGTCTGACCTGTTGACTGAATGGAGGCGGGGGGAGAGAATCTCTCAGCTGCTATTGTACTGTTAATCCTTGGAAGAGAAGAATGTAAGCAGAGCCCTGCTGGATCAGGCCAAAGACCCAACAAACCCCACCTTGGGCAAAAAAAATCCTGCATTTGAGGGGGTTGGTCTAGATGACCCACGTGACCCCTTCCAACACTACAATTCTATGATCCTATTCTCAGAGTGGCCAGCCAGAAGATGCTTGCCTGTGGGGAAACCCAAAAACGATTTTCCCTTCCCACTCCCACATCCCTAAGTATTTACCTCCCTCTTTTAATTTCTTCTTTCTCCTTTCACACTCAGCTTCTACCTTATTCCCTGCCTTCAAAACTCCCATTTATTCCATCATCCCTCCTCCATGATCCCATTACATTTCTGCTATATCCCCTCCCTTTTGGTTTCCAGTCTATTGTTATTATTGATCAATATGAAACCTTTTCTCTCACAGTCTAATTTCCATCACTTCCTCCTCTAGCTTTTCCCCCCCTTAGGAGAGAGACCTTCCTTCCTTCCTTTTCCCCTGAACATCTCCCAGCCATCTTGACTCTGAAGGCAAGGAGTTGTTGGTGCAGGCACCAGCCTAACCAAAAAAGCTATGACATAATTAAGGGGCTGTGCAGGCAAGAGAGAAGGAACTGTGGCGCTGAGGCCTGCCTGTAAGTGGCCCAAGGCCCATCATTTGAATAACATGGTTCTAGATTTTGCACAGATATGCAGCCATTCTGATTACTGCAAAGCCGTGCCTGTCCAGTCCTGTCCCAAAGAACTCATCCCTCCCGCAGAGGAGTCAACCATCAATACATTATGGAAAAGTGGCTTTATAAATCAGTCTTGTGACTTTTGAGAGAGAGCGCACACCTGTCAGGTTTTACTTGACCAAGACATACCTTACCCGCTGATATTTTTAAATATATGCCGCTTAAAGATTCCTGGTTTCGAAGTTTTGAATTTTAATTCTAATTTATACAGCTTAGATTTTAATTTTATCAACTCCTGTGTTGTTGCTGCCGATTTTAGATTATTGTACGTTAGCTTTTGCTATCATTCCAAAAACTGCCTGCAGGAACAAAGTGGGAAGTGTTGACCACCTGGTGATAACATGATTACATAGCTTGGAAATCAAACAACCCATCAAATCAATACCTAAGAGATCATATCAAAAGCTCATCTAGTCCACCATCCTCTCTCACAGGGGCCAAAGAGATGCCTTCAAGAAGTTCACAAACAGTAGTTAACACATTACAGTGGTACCTTGGGTTAAGTACTTACAGTGGTGCCCCGCAAGACGAATGCCTCGCAAGCCGAAAAACCCGTTAGACGAAAGGGTTTTCCGTTTCGGAGGCGCTTCACAAGATGAATTTCCCTATGGGCTTGCTTTGCAAGACGAAAACGTCTTGCGAGTCTCGCCATTTCCCCCCCACTTTCCCCCCCCCTTTTTCAAAGCCGCTAAGCCGTTAATAGCCTTTTAACAGCTTAGCCGCTAAGCCTTTAATAGCCGCTAAATCGCTAATAGCGCTAATCCGCTTAGCCGCTAATGGGCTTGCTTCGCAAGACGAAAAAACCGCTAGACGAAAGAATCGCGGTCTTGCGAGGCACCACTGTAATTCGTTCTGGAGGTCTGTTCTTAACCTGAAACTGTTCTTAACCTGAAGCATCACTTTAGTTAATGGGGCCTCCTGCTGCTGCCGCGCCGCTGGAACACAATTTCTGTTCTCATCCTGAAGCAAAGTTCTTAACCCGAGGTAATATTTCTGGCTTAGCAGTGTCTGCAACCTGAAGCATATGTAACCTGAAGCGTATGTAACCTGAGGTACCACTGTACCAGGTAGCATGGGCATAGTGGGAGTGGGGCAGGAAGGGGCAGCTGCCCCATGAATAAAAATCAAAAATATATAGCTGAGGTTCTGCCCCCCCCCCACAAAAGGCCTACTTGAGTAAGAACATACAGGATTGTGGTCCAGCCTATTTTTCATTACAAAGCAGTCCCGAAGAGACCACTTCATCAGCTGCATGGAATGTTTTATTGGGGGAAAAACAGATTTTTCCTTTGGACAAATTAAATAATCTATGGCATTTTAACCTTGGGGTGGGTATTGTTTTCACTAGGTTACACATTTCTGTGTTTTTATATTGTAAACTGCCCTGTGATACTGTAAACAATAAATATAGATTGTGCAGGTTAGCCTGCAAGGCCCCAACTCTTCTCAGGGATTAATGTACTCTAGGTTTGGGGTGAGTGCATTATGCAGCTCTATTTCTTCCCAAGATTACCATTTCCACCATTCAACAGAACAGCAATCTACAAATCCTATTTATTAAATTTGAATACCGCCCTTCACCAAAAATACCTCAGGGCAGTTCACAGCATAAAAACACAGAAAAAAACCACAAAAAAGTACATAATAAAGACAAGAACAAAACAAACCGGTAAACCCCCCCCCTCCCCATATATATCCCTGGGATTCTTTGGAGAAAGTTTTTGAGCTTTTTAAAATAAATAACAGTAAATTAGATTACGGTTTGGTTAACTACAATAACAAGTCCCCCCCCCTTTTTTTTTTTTTTGAAATGTACACAATGCTATTTTTTTGTTTTCTACGTGGGTGCTGTTTCTTGTGTCTTATCTTACTCTGTGCACGTGTCATTTTGTGCTTTTTTCATTTTTCAGTAAAGCAGAAATACATACGCATTGGCAGAAGGGGCCTGCTCTTTCGCAGACCCTCCCGGGCTGTGAGCCGGTCCCCCAGCCTGGGGCTGGCCCCCCAAGAACTCTACTCCGCTGACGGCCTTGCCGATGGTGAACCAGTCACTGATCTGGTCCAAGGTGAGCTTTCGCAACATCTCTGCCCTCTCGCCAAGCCAAGCCACCCCAGCAGGGCCAGCGCCCACTTAGCCACGCAGCGCCCCCTAAGAACCCAGGTTAATAGCTAGGCGCCGCCCACAGCCACGTGCTAAACATTCCGCAGGCAGAATTCTGCGACTCCTCTTGAATGGGCGTGGCTTCCGGTACAGAGCTCTCCTACGCATCTACTCAGAAGTAACTGCCGCCGCGTTCAAACGGGGCTTGCGCCCAGTATAGGCGCGCGTGGCGCACGTGCGTAAGGACCGCACAATCCCGTTTGAATCCGAAGTCCAGCTTAAACTCAGGCGCGTTTAGGCCTGCAATGCAATCTGATTTCCGCACCTTTACTCGAATGTAAGCCTTGCAGTGTGAAATGGGATGTGTGTGTATTAGAGAAAGACCTGCATCCTTTACTCGCACTTGCTTAAAAGCATCCGGTGAATTTTCGTGTTTTTGTTACCGGCTGCTCTTTCCTCCCTAAATTGGAAACTGCGCTGCAAAGAGCTAAGCGTGTGTTTGTTGGACTACAACTCCCATCAGTGCCTAGCTAGCAGGAGCAGTGGTCAGGGGTGATGGGAATTGTAGTCCAACAACTTCGAGGGGGGGCGCAAGGTTGATGAGAAAGGCTGACAGATAAAACCCACAATATACAGTTTATCTATACTTCTGTGGTCGATCGCGCAAAATGCAGTTATCTCGTCGGTTTTTCTTCCACCCACGAGTAAACGTGCCTAGAGGACGGGGTCGGCTCGCTTTTACTCTTTTCTTTCGCAATTCTAAATAAAAACGTAATCTACCTTCCTGCAGGGTAAAGGGGACGACTAGTCTTTGGAGGTGGAGGTTGCCGCACACAGCAATGCAGCGGCGACCACTTTGCACTCTTGCACAGCTGATCTCCAAGGATCTCTTTCATTCTTCCGGCTAATTAAATGACAATCTGATCATCCGAGAGGAGACGATTTGCATCCTGTCAGGTTGCTTGGGCTGCACCGAGGAGTTTCTACCCAAATATTTGTACATTTGTATTGTTTATTTTTTTGCTGCTGCCCAGTATGGATGGATATATTATTATTATTAAATTTCTATACTGCCCTTCTTCCAAATATCACAGGACGGTTTGCAGTATAAAAACACAAAAGTGCATACCATAATAAGCCACTCTGCTGGAGGGAAAACATGCACTTCGTGCGCACTTTTTTAGTTACAATGAGGTTAGCAATTGTTTTACGGCAGGCGGGCGGCAATCCAGTTTAGCCCACAAACAGCGCCATCCTGTGCAGTGTGGTACAGCGGTTACAGCATTGGACTACACATGAGGAAGACCCACCCAGGTTCAAGGAAACCCGCCGCCCCCCCCCAAAAAAAAATCAGCAATGATGCTCGTTGGGAGATCTTAGGCCAGCCACTTCTTTCTCAGCCTAGCCAACCTCGCAGGGCTGTCGCGAATATAAAACGGCAGGAGGGAAATTTCATACACCTGCTTGAGGATATACATGTAAAAATAAAGAAATATAGGTGTATGTTTGCTCAGAAGTAGGTCCCACTGTGCCCAATGGCTCCCACTAATGCAGCTGCCTGGTATGTAATTCAAATCCATTCTCAACAACCTGGATTTGCGATCATCCTCAAATAACTTCAGCAAAATAATTACTGAGCGGCTGTAAGAGAAGTAGAATTTCAACAGCTGTGCCTGTTTACAGTACACGTGTCAAGCTCACTAGATCACGTGGGGCCAGCCACTGCCTCTCAGTCTAATCTACCTCGCAAGGTTGGTGTGAGGGATTAAAATTAAAACTACGTGCGCCACCTTGAGCTCCTTGGAGAACCTGCCGCACCGGTAACCTATGCTGCTTTTGCTATTGGGAGGAGACATGCGCTTGCGGTGAAAAATACAAAAATGACAGCCTGGGCAAGCAGGTTTAAGACGCTTAAATTAAGAAGCATGTGGATCGCGCGTCGAACTGCCACGGTCCATGCAACCCTATTCCGAGGGAAGTTTTGCTGAATTCAGTGGGACTTATTTTATTCCTATGTTGCACAGTGATGTCTCCAAAGATGCGGGTCTTAATGGTTCAAACAGATGCGGGGATGTTGTTGGTTTGTTTTAAAGAGGTTTTAATGCAGCCCGATCCAATGCATTATCAGAAGAAAAACCCCACGGAATTTAATAGGCTTCATCCTCACCCTGAGTCAGATTGCAGTCTTATTTAGGAGCAAGCCCCACTGGACTTATTTCCCAGTAACCACGCACATGGATCTGGCTCTAATTTGAAAGCGAACACAATTTGAGACCGTTCGAGCTGAATCCTGAGCGACCGGGGAAAGCTCGAGCGGCGCAGGAATTAATTCCTATCCTAGGAACTCTTGTCCTGGCGATTTTTTTTAATGCTACTCCTAGTCTTGCTCAATGCAATGGGCTCTGCTCGCAAATCCGGCTCGCGTAAAAACGCAGCTTTTAATATCTGGATGCAGTGGACTGAAATCGGTGGGAGCGGCAGCTTCGAAGCAAACCTTTCTGCAATCGTGTTTGTAATTTATGGTTGTAAATTTGCCTTGCGCAACCGCTTCGAGGTTTTTTTCCCCCACAGTCAAGCGACATATAAAATAAAATAAAAGCTTGGGCCACGCGAATCATCCCTATTACAACGTGCAGTCCACCACCGGGTAGGGCAGGCGAAAGCGGCGGCTGTCGTGCGAGCTCCTCCAGGGTAGGGGGCGCTGCGAGCGGAAGGAAGCGGGCGAAGAGGCGCTCTAGGCAGGCGCTCGTTCTTCTCCCGGCAGGCCTTGCGACGGTCGGCGGTGGCGGTCTTGGTGGCGGCAGCTTTGTGACCTTCGCCTTCGCCGTTCTCCTTTGTCGTGTCACAGGCTTCGAGGTAAACCCCCGGCCTTTTGCTCCGAGCCTTCGGAAGGCTTTGCCCTGTTCTCCCGGCGGCGTCGAGGGCCTTCGTCCCCGCGCCTTGGCGGCCGCTCGGGCGGCCTTGCGGAAGGGCGAACGGGGTTGCCTTGGCTACGGGACCTTGAGGGGGTGGAGAGAGAGACTTAAACTTAGGAGCCAAGCCCAAGGGGTCAGCCGCAGAAGCTGGCTTAGTGGGTGAGGCCTGTCTGAGAATCAATCCCGGAATCGTGGAGATGGGAGGGATCCCCGAGGGTCATCTAGTCCAACCCCCGCTGCGGTGCAGGAATCGCAGCTGAAGGATCCCTGACAGATGGCTATTCAACCCACTGTGTAAAAAATCAAAAATCTCCGGTGAACGAGAGTCCACTCCCCACCTTGCACTGCTGAACAGCTCTTGTCATTGTAGATTTGGGAGGGACCCCCAAGGGTCAACTAGCCCAACCCCCTTTCAAAGCAGGAATCTCAAACAGCCATGACAGATGACCACCCAACCTCTGCTTAAAAACCTCCAAGGAAGGAGAGGCCACCACCTCCTGAGGGAGTCTGATCCACTGTGAGGCATTCTTCCTAAAGGAGGTGCGCAACATAAGGCTTGCTTCTTTTACAGTGAGTGAGTGGGTGTGTTTTATATATGCAGTGGACGCTCGGGTTGTGAACATGATCCGTGTGGGATGCACATTCGCAACCCACAGCAGCACGTCTGTGCACGCGCGGGTTGCAATTCAGCGCTTCTGTGCACTCACAGTTTAGCGCTTCTGCGTATGTGCGACCTCCGAAACCCAGAAGTAACCTGTTCCAGTACTTCCAGGTTTCGGAGTGTCCATAACCTGAAAAAACGCAACCTGAAGCGTCTAACCCGAGGTATGACTGTATTCTCAACATTGGGTCCCCAGATGTTCTTGAACTACAGCTCCCGTGATCCCTGGTCATGATGGCTTGGAATGATGGGCGTTGTAGTCCCAACATATGAGGCCCCAATATTGAGAAAAGCTGCCTAGCCCTAACGTGGCTTACGCCCAGAGTATCTGAAAACCTCCTCCTCCCCACTCAACTCAGAAGTCCTACGTCAAGGTCGGCTCAGCTACCATAAATCAAGTGGTGGATGGGTCCTCCTCCAGAGATGGCCCAGCATTTCACTTTTCCTGCAGAGACAGCAGCAGCAATTTGCAGAGCAGGAAAAGATGGTAGTTGTTGTTCCGGCTGCCCAGAAGTTAGAAAGTCAACTCAGGGGGGCTTACTCTCATGATGGTGTATATAGGATTGCATCCATCAACAGTTGCCACCTGTCTCATCTCTTGGTGCTCTGACCTCAGAGAAGGGCGTCCAACAATGATCTTAGTGTGCAGTTTGTCCAGCTCTCCTTTGGTTATCTAGGGCTCAAGTTGTGTGAGGTCTTTAAAGGTAAACAAAAGCAATTATGCCTAGAAATGGACTGGCAAAGAGCTTTCAGAATCAGTGAGAGATATTCCCACCTGGCCAATTAACAACACGGCAAATTTATTTTGACATTTCAAGTGTGCATGATAATCTGCATACAGTGGTGCCTCGCAAGACGAAAATAATCCGTTCCGCGAGTCTCTTCGTCTAGCGGTTTTTTCGTCTTGCGAAGCAACCCTATTAGCGGATTAGCGCTATTAGCGGATTAGCGGCTATTAAAGGCTTAGCGGCTAAAAGGCTATTAGCGGATTAGCGGCTTAGAAAGGGGGGGGGAGCGAAAAAAATCGCAAGGCTCGCGAGACGTTTCCGTCTTGCGAAGCAAGCCCATAGGGAAAATCGTCTTGTGAAGCACATTGAAAAACGGAAAACCCTTTCGTCTAGCGGGTTTTTCGTCTTGCGAGGCATTCGTCTTGCGGGGCACCACTGTATTGGACCATTTTCTTCATGTTGACTTTTCCTGTCTAAAAAGATGACACCTCAGAATATGTCAGATGTGCAAACAGCATTGAAGAGGCATTTGACAACCATTGGTAGAATTCCTGCATTATCATCTGTGGTCAAAATCATATGACCATGTTCACTTGCATAATCTGGTCTTGAGAATCATTCCACATTTTGATTAAAGCTATCTCACACCTCTAAATGTTGTAGTGACTGAACTCTTAAGCAAAAGTTTTTAAGCCTGCCCTGTGGTGGTTGGGGCTGCCCGTTAGTTGGGAAGTTGTACTCCAAAACATCTAGAGGGCACCAGGTTGGGGAATTTTGCCATACACCTCGGAGTTAAAAAGACCATATTGAAGGTAACACATTACCAAAAAGAAATGCAATTAAACATTGATTGGAGTTGGGCATGTTGCTAAGCATTCTCTTGATTTTAAGTATAGTGGTACTTCGGGTTACAAACTTAATTTGTTCCGGAGGTCAGTTCTTAACCAGAAGCTTTTCTTAACCCAAGGTGCACTTTCGCTAATGGGGACTCCCGCTATC